TACATTCTATAGGGGGTGGGGTGTAAAACACATTAGGACAGGAATGTGCAATCAAATAAGGTGGGCTGCCCTTTAGGAGAGGGCAAGAGACGGGTATGTGAGGTAGGGGTTAGTCTTGGAGGCCATAAGCTTTCCTAAAGAGATGGGTTTTGAGGCACTTCTTAAAAGATGCAAGACTAGGGGAGAGTCGGATGGCGGTAGGCAGGCTATTCCATAGGAAGGGAGCCGCCCGCGAGAAGTCCTGCAAGCGCGAGTTGGCCGTACGGGTGCGGACAACGGACAGGAGGTGGTCACGGGCAGAGCGGAGAGACCGAGAAGGGACATACCTGTGGATCAGTGAGGAGATATAAGAGGGGCTAGAGTTGTTCAGTGCTTTATAGGTGTGAGTTAGTGCCTTGAATTGACTCCTATAGCACACAGGAAGCCAATGTAAGGACTGGCAGAGGGGTGAGGTGTGAGAGAACCAACTAGAGAGGAAAATCAGTCTAGCAGCAGCATTCATTACAGACTGTAGGGGTGCAGTACGGCTTTTGGGAAGACCAAGCAGGAGAGGGTTACAATAATCCATGCGTGAAATTATTAGAGCATGGACAAGCTCCTTGGTAGTATCTGGTGCAAGAAAGGGGCGGATGCGGGCTATGTTTTTAAGATGGAATCTACAGGATTTGGCAACATGCTGGATGTGAGGCTCAAAGGTGAGACCAGAGTCAAGTATGATGCCAAGACAGCGCGCTTGCAAGGATGGGCTGATGTTGGTACCACAAACTTGAAGGGAGAGCGAGAGAGGAGGATCAGTATTAGGAGGAGGAAAGACAAGGAGCTCAGTTTTTGAGAGATTGAGTTTCAGAAAGCGGGATGACATCCAGTCAGAGATGGAAGAAAGGCAAGCAGTGACACGTTACAGGACAGCAGGGGAGAGGTCCGGGGAGGAGAGATATAGCTGGGTGTCATCAGCGTACAGGTGGTAGTGGAAACCAAATGAGGTAATAAGTTTGCCAAGAGAGGCAGTGTAAAGAGAAAATAGAAGGGGACCAAGGACGGAGCCTTGGGGGCTTAGTGCATTTGGCCTACTTTCGGCCGCACTGCATGTTCGTTTTGGTTCAGTACATTATACTTACATTTGGCCACACAAAATAGTGACTTTGGTTTAGTACATTTGACCTATTTTTGGCAGCACAACATTTTCATTATGGCTCAGTACATTTGCCCATGCTGCGTTTTTGTTTTGGTTCTGTATAATTGACCTATGTTTGGCCGCCCTATATTTTTGGTTTGGTATGTTCAACCACGCTACATAGTCACTTTAGTTTAGTACATTCGGCCTATGTTTGGTCGATCTACATTTTTGTTTTGGCTCAGTACATTCGACCATGCTACATTTTTGTTCTGCTGAATATCTACCTCTCTCCACACATAGCACAGAATGGTTGCTTTAGAACATAACCCTACTAGCAGTATTGCAGAATATAACTATTTCAGAATAAAATGCCAACATTTTTACCATTCTGGCACTTTATAGGGAAAAAGAAGATTGATGGCTAGGGGACAGTCACTAAATGTTGATTTTACTCACAAATTAAGTGAGAAGTGAGAAATAAAGGAAAAAAATATTAGGAACAGTAAAAAAAAAATCTATATTTATATCATATATATTTAATAAATATATAAATATAGGGGTTATTTTTATTGCTTCTCTTCTTTCTCCTCTATTGGTTACTTTGTTTCACTTGATTGATGGAAACATGATTTTATCAGTGTACTGCAAAATATGTACATAATGTTATATTATGTATATATTTTGCAGTACACTGACTGCGCATTTTGTTTACCTCTTTTGGCTTGTCTGATTAATTTCCAAATCACGCTGTCCGTAAAGAAAATCTTCCAAACTGGAGCAACATGAGTGAAATTAAGCGTCCCAAATAAAATTATATTTTCAGCAAAAATGGTTTTGGCCTTGCCCAAATTTTTTCCCATTCGTAAATCTAGTATGTATTCATTTCAGAAACTATAAAAATAATAAAACGTAATTCATTAGTGTGACTAACAGACAATGGGGAGTAACTCCTTAAGACCGGAGGGCGTACTATTACGCCCTATTTTAGGCGGCTCTAAATGCCGCCGGGCGTAATAGTACGCCCTCTGGTCTTTCGTTACTTACCCGGTCGCCGGCGGTCCCAGGGAGACCCCCCGCGGCAGATCCTCCTCCTCCGGTCCCCCCCGGCCATGTGAGAGTGAGGTCCTTGCGAGGACCTCACAATCACATGGCTGGGATAGCATTGCCAGCAGGGGAGCTGCCTGTAATGACAGGTGGTCCCCCTGCTTGCAAGAAATAAAAATAAAATAAATTAATATATATATTAATATCAAATTACACGTAGACTGATACTGATTACATATATATATATAATTATTGTTATATATATATTTATATATAATATAAAAAATTAAATATGTAAATACGTTAAAAAATAAAATTACAAAAATTATTAAAAAGAAATTATTAAAAAATATATAGATGTGTGTTATTTCGTTCTAACTGTATTGTGATATTAATATATATATATATATATATATCAAAATACACATAGAACGAAATAATATATATCTATATACATAAATATATACGTATATATCACATTAATTCTACATATATATTTATGTAATATTTCTACATAATTAGGTATCTTAATTAATTACAATTAGCGGGACCTGCCTGACAACCCATGACAAAAGTAAAGGGAATTTAATTTGCTAGCACTATATTTAACCTTATAACTTTCCAAGACACCATAAAACCTGTACATGGGGGGTACTGTTCTACTCGGAAGACTTTGCTGAACACAAATATTAGTGTTTCAAAACATTAAAATGTATTACAACGATGATATCGCCAGTAAAAGTGAAGTTTTTTGCATTTTTCATGCACAAACAGCACTTACACGGACGATATTATTGCTGTGATACTTTTTACTGTTTTGAAACACAAATATTTGTGTTCAGCGAAGTCTCCCGAGTACAACAGTACCCCTCATGTACAGGTTTTATGGTGTTTTTAAAAGTTACAGTGTCAAATATAAGGCTTGTGTTTCATTTTTTTTCACATAAAAATTTGCCAGATTGGTTACGGTGCCTTTGAGACCCTATGGTAGCCCAAGAATGAAAATTACCCCTATGATGGCATACCATTTGCAATAGTAGACAACCCAAGGTATTGAAAATGGGGTATGTCCAGTCTTTTTTAGTAGCCACTTAGTCACAAACACTGGCCAAAATTGGCGTTTTTTTCATTTTTCACACACAAACAAATACTAACGCTAACTTTGGCCAGTGTTTTTGACCAAATGGCTACTAAAAAAGACTGGACATACCCCATTTGCAATACCTTGGGTTATCTACTATTGCAAATGGTATGCCATTATGGGTGTAAATTTCATTCCTGGGCTACTATAAAGTCCCAAAGGCAACGTAACCAATCTGGCGAATTTCAATTTCAAATGTAATGTGCTATATTTGACCCTGTAACTTTCCAAAACGCCATAAAACCTGTACATAGGGTGTACTGTTTTACACGTGAGACTTTGCTGAATACAAATATGTGTATTTTATTGCAGTAAAAGCAAACAGTATTATGACATTGGCAGTTAAAATGTCATGTAGAACTAAAAATATTAAGTAATTCTTATTTTCTCTCATTTTTTTCATATTAAATTATGTTTCATAGCTAAATATTTGATATTAAATGAAAGCCCTGTTTCCCCTGAGTAGAATGATATATAATAAGGGTGGGTGCATTAAATATGAAAGAGGTGAATTACGGTTGGACAGACATGTAGCGCAAATGCCAGGTTTTGTTTACATTTTGTTTCGTTCACAACGTGTACATTTGGCTCAGTCCTTAAGGGGTTAAATAATGAGATGTTTAACAGTCTTTTAAACATCTTACAATGGGTATGACTCACAGACCTATTCAATAACAACATGAACAAATCCTCATTTCAACTGCATCACAGAAAATATATGTTGATGAGAGATATTTCAGTTATGTAAAAGTTTATTAGGAATAAAATTAGATTGTGCACTCACTTTCTCATATAGTAAAAATGGACTCATTCATCTGCTAGATCACAGACTACATACCTTACATGAATGCAAATTGGTTTTGTTTGTGGTTTTCCTTTGTAGAATAATAGTGTCATGTCACACACATTCATTTGTTTAACCCCTTAAGGACAGCAGGCGTTTTATGCTGTCCTTTTTGGGGCTGTCCTAAATGTTGTGCGGACCTAAATGCTGGCGGGCGGCATAGAACGTCCCCACCATCCTTTATACTTACCAGGACTCTGCCGATCCCACACCGGCGGTCGCGATCCTGGGGTCTGCCTGGGAGCTCAGGCAGACCCCCTCTGCCCAATCTGCCCCCCCCACCCCAGCCATGTGATCGTGGGATCCTCGCGATCACATGGTCGGAATAGTCGGCTTATGCAGTGCCTATAGGGGACCTGCCTGAACTATTATATATATATATATATATATATATACACACACACCATTGTACACAGACTCAGCATTTAGACCATCATTATGTTAATAGATTCAGACAGTTATATTCACATATTTATCCGTAATGTCACTACCCCGTTGAACAATGCATCGTTTTTAAACTTTGGACTTTACATGTATATATTAATTTTTAAATGTATTAATCCTTGCTTAGCATGTGGATGATACGACCACCTCTTGAATAGGGGTGAACTATCCCCTCTACAGCTCTGCTTGCTGCCTATGATGCGTCCTAGATTGCCATGGTAACCCAAAAGTTTCCGACTACGGCGGGACCTATGCAAACTCCTCGTGGGGAAAGAGTGTGGATGAAAACCCCTTCCACGTGAAGTAAGTGGATAATTAATACATTGCTAAACACAAATACACACACCAGTAAAGCCATAAGACTTGCTTTTCCCACAGAAATCTCACTTTAACAGTGCTCTCACTACTGCAAAGGATTCTGGGTAGGCGTATGCAAATAAGCTCAACAAAGAACCATATTTTGCCTCATAATTCCATGCCTTCCCAGAATCCCTTGCAGTAGTGAAAGCACTGTTAAAGTGAGATTTCTGTGGGAAAAGCAAGTCTTATGGCTTGACTGATGTGTGCATTTGTGTTTAGCAATGTATTAACTATCCACTTACTTCAGGTGGAAGGGATTTTCATCCACACTTTTTTCCCCACCACAACTCTGTTGGTCTGTACTTTACGAGTAACGCCAAACCTCCATTGCAAGCCAGTAACAAACCTCATGCGGATGAGTTACATTAACAACAAAGCAGCTGTCTATGAGTAGTTCACTGGCTTTGCTCCTCTTCCTGAGTTATGTTTCGAAGCTGTTGTATACAGCAAACAAATACTCCAAGGAATCCATGTATAAAGTGGAATTATAATGCAAAAATGTGGTTCTTTGTTGAGCTCATTTGCATATGCCTACCCAAAATTCCTTGCAGCAGTGAAAGCACTGTTAAAGTGAGATTTCTGTGGGAAAAGAAAGTCTTTGGCTTGACTGGTGTGTGTTTTTGTGTTTAGCAATGTATTATATATATATATATATATATATAAATAATAAAACAAATTATATATATATATGTATATACATACATATAGCCTGCAGATAGTGATCAGCGCTCTTGGTCTTTAAAGGTTAAAAATTGAAGTTTCTTAAATATCCTTTAAAAATACGATCGACGTTTCAGTCCCCCTGGGGACTTTCATCAGGATCAGGCATCCTGATTTATATTTATATAATATTTTGACATAATTAAGTCATTTTATTAATTACAATCTGACGTACCTGCCCGACAACCCAGGCAGAAAGTCCAGAGAACTATGCTCGCAAGCCCTATATTTAACCCTGTAACTCTACAGGTCACCATAAAACCTGTTCGTGGGGGGTACTTTTTTTTACTCGGGAGACTTCGGTGAACACGAATATTAGTGTCTAAAAACAGTAAAACATATCACAACGATGATATCGTCATTAAAAATGCATTTTTTTGCATTTTTCACACACAAACTGTACTTTCACTGACAATATAATTGTTGTGATACGTTTTACTATTTTGAAACACAAATATTTGTGTTCAGCGAAATCTTCCAAGTATAATAGTACCCCACATGTACTGATTTTATGGTGTTTTCAAAAGTTACTGAGTCAATTATTAGGCTTGAATTTCCTTTTTCACATTGAAATTAGCCAGATTGGTTATGTTGCTTTTGAGACCATATTGTAGCCCAGGAATAAGAATTACCCCCATGATGGCATACCATTTTCAAAAGTAGAAAACCCAAAGTATTGCAAATGGGGTAAGTCCAGTCTTTTTTAGTAACCACTTAGTCACAAACACTGGCCAAAATTAGCGTTCAATTTCGTTTTTTGGCATTTTTCACACACAACAAATATGAATGCTAACTTTGGCCAGTGTTTGTGACTAAGTGGCTACTAAAAAAGACTCGACATACCCCATTTGTAATACCTTTGGTTGTCTACTTTTGCAAATGGCAAGCCATCATGGGAGTAATTTTCATTCCTGGGCTACCATTTGGTCTCAAAGGCAACATAACCATTCTGGCAAATTTCAATGTGTATAAACTGGAAAATGTAATGTGCTGTATTTGACCCTGTAATTTTCCAAAACACCACAAATCCTGTACATTGTGGGTACTGTTTTACTCATGAGACATCACTGAATACAAATATGTGTACTTTAATGCAGTAAAAGCAAACAGTATTGTGATATTCACAGTTAAAATGCCATGCAAAACTAAAAAAATAACATTTCTTAATTTCTCATTTTGTTTTATTATTTTTTCATATTAAATTATGTTTCATATACAAATATTGTAGGTGACATGAAAGCCCTGTTCCCCCTGAACAAAATTATAAGTGATAAGTGTGGGTGCACATAATATGAAAGAGATGAATTACGCCTGGACAGACATATAGAGCAAATTCAAGGTTTTGTTTACATTTGCTTTGATCACAACTTGTACAACTGCCTCAGTAGGGGTTAAAATATAGTTTAAGCTTGTGATGTAAACACATTAACATGTAATGAAATAGAGATAAGATACAAAAAGCAAGGGGAATTCAAAATGGAGACATTGCTGAATAGACATGTGCAGGGCGAAAAATGTTACACTAATTTTACAGTACATACTATTGTGGTTTTTGTTATTTCTCTTTTATATATTACATAGGAAAATCCACATAATCTATATCCTAGAGTGGGAATCAAACCACTTACATCTATAGGTGGGGATAATTTCATTCCGGCACTGAAAGTGTGAGTGCACAAGTCTTAATATTCCTAACTCCATTAAGAAGTTTTTAACTTACCACACTATCAGTCTTTTGCTTTTCCTTTTCTTTGTCATTACATGCATTTCCTAAAGGACATTTAAGGCACAATACCTTCTTTACCTGATTTATCTTATCAGACAAGAGAGACTCCACTTGATTAGGCTGCCTTTGGACTATATTAGTATTGTATAAGCGCTGACTTTTTTCTGTTTTTATCTATTAAATTGTAAGACAGGTGAGTTTTCAAAAAGTGAAAAGGTGCAATGGGTGAGTGTGTCATCAACTTCTTAATTACTCTTTTTTTAAATATTGTTTGAATTTCCCTATTTTCAATTAAATTGCTCCTACAACTCCAACTTTTTTCAAAAGCATTTCATTGTAGTGGTTTTGCCCTGCCTGGTTGAGTCTTGCGGTGCATGCTACCTCCGCAGAAACTTGCTATTTCTAAAGCACAATCACTGGCACTGATTTTTACCATCTAAATCTGGCTGAACTCTGGATAAATGCCAGGAACAATAAAATAACACTTTGGTCCGAATGGCCCTGTACTGCACCAAATGGTTTTGCTCCTTTCAATACAAGGCTATGTAGGTTTTAATGAATAACCCTGATCCAGAAATGATAAAACTTTGGCAAAAATATCTTAGCTGGAAAAAAAATCACAGCTTGTCTATTTTACTCTAACTTTTGCAGTTTTATTAATACAATTGAGTTTTGTGCATAACTTTTATAAAATAAATACATTTATACATCTCATCCAATGTCCCTAATAATAGTAAACAAATAATCAAAATGTCCTATAGAAGATGAAAAGAAAAAATTAGAATAAAAAAAATTGATATATTCCAGCTGAAGGTAATGAAATTTCATTTAGAGTTTAAATGCATACTCAGTTGATCAGAAAAAACCTTAATGGCTCTAGGTTAAGTAGCCCAATGCTCTTCAAATGCATGCATTGATACTAGAAAAAAGAGGGTGAGCACAATTCTGATTAAACAGGTTTATGAATTTCATTAACTACACACAAGAGAGCTCTTTGTGGGACCAAATCTCTGGTAGCTGCAGAGATATTATCAAAATATGGAATTCATAAAAAATGGAGAAGGTACCACACTACCAGTCTCCTATTCACTGGAGTCTTGTTAGTATATTAAGTTTGGGTCCATTGTTCCAGAGTATCCTTTGTCGTATGTGCTATAAGACAAGGAAAAATAGCTCTTTTTCTACAATGCACTTCATCAAAATTCTACAGCAACATTTATCATAGACATTACAACAACCTCCACCCTTTAACGTTTATAGCCCTTCCTTCAAATCACTGAAAATATGGTTTGTCGTTATGCTTAAAGGAACACTTAAGCGTTATGAATACAAACAAGTATTCCTAATGCTATAGTTTAAATCTATCTATACTGGTATCCCTCCAATGGTGGGAGTGATACCAGTATAGATAGATTGAAACCATAGCTTTAAAATAAGTTACTTACCTTTCAGTGCTCACCATGCTGATCTCCACAGTGCCACTCCACCTCTTTGGTTGAAATCATTAATGTTGGTAAATATTGGGAGGCTTGAGCGCATGCATGGCAAAACACTGAGAAGTGACAATCAAATGGTTTCTATGAGTTTAACTTAGCCATTGGAGCTGAAGGATCTTCAGATTATATTTACTTGGCAATGTAAACAATGCTGTATTTACTAAATTGCAATGCTTTAAGTTGCAGGGTTGAAAAGACAGGGGCATGGCATTGAAATGAAGTGGTCTGGGTGCCTACTGAGTCCCTTTAATATACAGGATACATTTGTAAAACCAGAAGCTGGAAGCAACATAGGCAGAGGGGTCAATACCTGCCTAGAAGAAGGAGGACTGGCAAAGGGTTTGATAACTGCTGGAAGGGGGAGGACAGGCTTGGGGGTTGATACGTGTCTGGAAGGATCTGGTGAGGCAGAGTGCTCAGTCCCTACCTAGGAGTCTGGAGATATCAAAGGCAGAGGTGACACAACCTGTCTGCCGCTCCAATGAGTTGACGGCTCTGTGCTTAACCAGGCCCTGGTCACAACCCACTACCAGTTCAAAATTACCACCCCTTCAGCTTTGCGTTAAAGAGATTCCCCTACCGAGACCAGCATCCTGGGGAGATATTGTCAATGATTTGATCCCTGTCTCAGCACCAATCCCTTCTGGAGGCTGCTCCAGGTGTCTGTATCATTATACATATATCCAATAATGTCTTACCCCCTTTAGAATATCTTATCGCTTACTACACCAAGCCCCTTTGTGTGTCTTTCTCCCCAGCTCATTTGTGTATCTCTTACTACAGTCAGCCCCTTTGCATGTATCATCCACCCCAGCTCCTAAGTGTGTCTCTTTCTCTCCTTCCCCATCCAAATTGTGTACTCCAACCCCTTTTATGTATCTTTTTCTCCCCTTTCTCACCCCCTCTATATCTCTTTCTCCCACAGAAAGTAGTGTATTTGTCTATTTCTCCTCTTCCTTATCCCTCCGTGTGTCTCTTCCCACCAGCACCTTGTCTCTTTTTCCCCACAGGATCTCTATGTCTGTTTCCTTCCCCGACCCTTCTCGGTGTCTCTACCCAGCCCATTTATGTCTCTTTTGCCCATCTGTGTGTCCCCATAGCCACTTTGTGTGACTCTTTCTCCCCCTCCCCCACTCATCTGCATGTCTCTTTCTCTCCAAGCCCCTTTTTGTGTCTCTTTTTCCCTTCAGCTGCCTGTCTTCACTTCCCCCCCTTTGAGGTCTTTTCAACCACATCCTGTGCCTGCTCACCCTCCTGAGTAGCATGCCCAAGCTGCAGCCCGCAGTAGATGAGCTTCTGTTTCCTCTCCCCAGTCTGACAGGAAGCTATAAGTTGCTCTTAGTGAACACTTTCTGTCAGACCGGATAGAGGAAACACAAACTCCACTACCAAAGTCCACCACTTGTTTACGCGACAATGACTGAAAACACTCTCCTCCTGCTGAGCAAACGAATCCTGCGACCCAGGCCAATGTGTCCTAAGGTGGCCACAAGCACTACCTCCCCCTTAACCGCTACACTACTATAACATACTACACTACACATAAACTCCTGAACTGCATTAACAATAAACCATACCTCACAATCAGGACTGGTGGGCAGGCCTTCTAGGAGATGTCACCCACAATAGGCCTGCTTGGGAATTGGGAATAGGGTTTGCCCACTAACGGCAGCATGTCAGTCTGGCATCTAACACGCCAGACTAATAGACTGCCTAACAGCCAGCCCCTTACTTGCAGCTGCACAGTGCAATAATGTGCTTGCGTTGTGCTGCCCAAGGACAGTTTCCTGATGTCCCCAGATGTGGGACACCAGGGAACTATATCGGGATGGAGGGATCATAATCGTAATTGTCCTGCCAAAAGAGTGACCGTATGGAGCTCTGCTAAAGATTAACTCCTACAGTATGCTGAAATGAACCATTCACACCTACTTTACCTTAACACTTAAACTAATCCTTCCTATGGCAAAGAGAAATATGAGATTTGAATATAGATGGTCATTTAATATATTCACTCATATTCAATGTTAAACATGCGCATCACCTTTCCTAATAAAATATTTTATTGCCTGTCAGATATCTTGTCATTTCCAATTGAATGATTTCCATTAGAGCAATGAAAGAGCTCTGTTAAAATGAATTGCAGTGGGTCAGGTAATTTGTCAACCTTCTTCTTAAAAATACCTTGCTGATGTCTTTCATTCAGTGATTGCCCATATTTCTTTTTATTTCTTCTATTTCCATGTGTCATCTTTATTTTTGTTGGCTTGTTTCCAAACTTTGACAGATTCTAAAAGTCAGACAGGTTGTCTCTAGATAATGGGGTGTAAACACAAAACTAAGATGAGGTGAGTTTAACCACAGATTAATTCATAGTTCAGTAACAGAGTTCTAAATATAATCTCTAGTTCAGAAACTTGGTTTGTTTGAATAATTGTTTGGAGGCCTTAGTAGAACCAAATTAAGATTTTGCATGGCCCTAGGATGATTACCGATTTGTGCCTTACATACTTTTATTTTCAACCTTTCACTCAACACTCAAAAACATTAATGTGCAGTTTGTTGAGGGTCTGTTAGTGAATGTACTTGTACAGAAGATCAGCACAAATACTTTCCTGCATTGATGTAGGTTAGTAAATAGGTGTTGTGACCTGCTCCTATCTAAGACCCAGGTCCCCCTTGGTTTACAAATGGGC